ATTCCCAAAATATCTGTATTCTGGGCTGAGCAGACTGAGGCTGAAGTGCCTGTGGTTGGCCGATTGAAGAGGACATAGGGAGGCAGAAAGACAGACAGAGGAAAAGCACCTGAGCATGTATGGCAGCAGTGGGCAAAAAAGAATGGGGTCTACCCCATCTCCAGGCCCAGCTCTCATACCAACATGGGATATTTTTACTGTTTTTCCCAGTGTGCTGAAGCCTGAGCTCAGTCCAGGACATGGTTTTGTCCCAGATTAGCTTGTGCTACCAGCCATTAAATTTGGTTACATTGCTGTTATGTTATGCTTCTCATTTTAAATTATCTTCTAAACTGTGGTTCACCTGGAATCTTCAGTAGACAGGATTTGTGAAATAAAAGTTAAAATGCCAGTTGAAATAAGGCATTTATGTACATATATCACACACATGAATGCACACAGCTACTGATAAAAAACACGTGTTTGTTCATACATACATGTTTCTAATCAGATTTATAATGCATATAATATAAATGTTTTTCTACATATAAAATTCATTGGAAACAGGAAACCAAATTAGTTTGCCTTGCTAAAGTGGCATGAAATAAAGAGCAGTGTATACTGTTGAAAAGGAGGTAGGATGTGGTTTTTGGAGGGCTTTTCTTCCCCTGAGGGCTCGTTCTACCATGTTTATGTCTAGAACCTGCTAATTTTAAAGCCAGCTCACAGGAGACTAATGGCACGACTTATTTATTTCATTTCACTTTCATTTTGCAGAGCTCAGGGTGTGTTTAAGGTGCTCACATGTCAGCAGCTCATGCAAACACACCAGTGGATGCTCCAGGAGACCACAAACAGCAGTGGGTGTCTGCACACACTGCCCCCCTGTTTATCCATGAACAGGAGCCACTCCAATGAGCTGAGTCTGATTTTAAAGGATCTTTTGAGAGTTAAACATGTAAGAAGATGCTCAGTGCTACTTTCAAACCAAGACATGTTCCCGGCTGATTTACAAAAGGCCACAGTCTCCACTTTTATGTGGGCAAATGCTTTTAAAAATTGGCTCCTGGGATTTTGGGTGCTCATCGATTCATCCTCTGACAAGCCTCCTTCTCTGACCTTTCCATTACCAACTTTTCCATCTCCAACTGCTTCATCATCCTCCTGAGCATAGGCACACAGCTAATAAATCTGAGTCTTTAATTGCCCTCCCACGCTGTGTGGCTTTATCTGAGCCATCGTTCCTGTCGCTGTGCCTTGTCACATCTCTCTGCTTCCAGCTTTGTGCTGCTGGAGTCAGCAGAAGGATAAAGCTGTTATTTAAGTTTGGGTTTAGGTACAAATCCCCACAGTAACACACTCCATGGCCCCACATGATGTGTCTGACATGGCTGAGTTGGCTCTGCCTGGGGGGAAGTACAAACCCTCTGCTCTTATGTCATGCAAGGTCCCATTTTTTGGTTCTCTATGCAGCTGAAACTATGCGAAAAAATTGTGTGGGAGAAAAAACCCCACAAACCCCCCATAAAATCCCTTGCTAAAGACATCAGAAAGGGTGGAGGATCCTGCTGGCCCAGTGGCTCTGGGACCACCAGGGTGGAAAAGCCTCAAGTCCCAAGAACACCCAACACCTCTGGTACCCAAGGAAGATTTATTTATTCCCCCCAATTTATCCCTCATCAGGAAGTTTCCCACAGCCCTCCAGGAGTGGGTGCAGCAGTATCAGCAGGCACGGGTCTATCAGGCTGAGCAGAAGCTTTTCCAGGAACTCTCTGGTGCCACACGTGACGTGCCCGGCCGAGAGCCGATACGTGACAGGCATTCACTGGCTTCCCGGCCAGTCAGTTGACTTTGTTATTCAAACTATTTTAGTGATGGTTTTTAATCCTAGGCTTAAGTTTTTCTTTTTCTATTTTTCTTTTTTTTTTTTTTTTCCCCCTCCCTCTTCTTTTTTTTACTCTCTGAACAAGGGAATCTCTACGCTGGCAGGATTCAGAGAGGCACAAAGGAGGGAAAAACAAGTTTCAGCCAGAAGAGAGAGGGGGAAAAAAAAGGATGCTGTTAGCATTCCCTGTATTAGAGGGGGTAAAAATATTTTGCTGTCGACTCTGTTTTAAAGGGTAAGTCCCAACAGTAGCCCAGTTACTATGCAAATAAATCCTGTGCTCAGCCTTTCCCTCTCAGTGCAAAATTTTGGTGCTGGGTGTTGTTAGCCAGGGGAGCTGGGCTGCGGGGGCTGGCAGTGCTCGGGACCTAGCCAGGAGCCCGTGGGGGGTGCCCAAGTGTCCCCAGATAACGTGGGACAGTGGGGGGAGCACTGCAGAGGTGTGGGCTGGGTATCCTTGCTCCTTATCAAAGGCAGATTCAGGCAGCTGCTGGCAGCAGAACCCTTGGCTGTGCCTCTGTGACAGGGGATACCCCAGGGAGAGAGAGAGCCTGGAAAGGGCAGAAATCTCACCCAAGACATTCCCTTTCATGGCTGGCAAGTGAGGAGGGTCTGGCAGCAGCCCCCCTGGGGTACAGGGCTGTCTCTCACTCGCTGCTGCCAGGTGGAAAGGGAGGTGATGCCAGGTCACGATGCCAGCCTGTGGCTGGGTTCATCCAGATGATGACCAGCACCCCAGCACTGGTATTTATGGTGACACTTCCCCATGACAGCAGAAGGGTTCCACATGCCCCAGCCCACACAAGGCAAACCTCCCCCTGACAGCCTCACTGTGATGGTTTCCTATAAAAAAGGTTTGAATTTGTCATGCAAATGACTGGGCATGTGGGCACAGCTGCTGGGAGGTGGCCTGGCTGGGTCAGCTGCCAGCATGGCCACAGGGATGTGCCCAGGACAAGGTCTGGCCCCCCAGAGCTGGTCCCACCCGTGGAACGTGCCAAGCAGATGGTGCTGCCAGGCTGTGCTGCCAAAACCACCCAGCCCTTGCCATTCCTCCTGGTCCCTGTGGCTCACTGAAGCTTTTAAAACAAGCAGTGACCCCCCCTGCTCATCCCCTCTCTTGGCTTCTCTCTGGCTGCAGCAGAGCTGAGCTGCCCAGGATGAGCTTGCTTTGTGCTGGGACAACATAAGAAAGTGGAAGAGGATGCTCCAGCAAGCAATGCACTTAAAAAAAAATTAAAAAAAAAAAAACAAACAAATATATATATATATATATATATATATATATATATATATATATATATATATATATACTTTTAAGCAATTTCAAAGTGATTTAAGCACTTGCCCTGTGCCACCCTGGGGGCCAGACTGCCACTCACCCACACCTCAATGCTCATACACTGCAGTTTATCTCTTGTCCCTCTAACACAGCTTTGAGCTCTTCCCACTTTCCCAGCCTAGCACGGGACAGGGAAGTGCTTGGCTCCTTCCCTGGCAGCTCAGCCCCTCTCCCACCGGGAAGGAGCATGGCAGAGTGTGCCCTGTGCCCTCCCGCCCAGGATTTCCCAGCCGGGTTTTCACAAACAGGAAGGCAGCAGGTCGGGCTGTGTTTTGATGTGGCTCTTTCTCGAAATGAGCCCGGAGCAAAACTGAGCGGGATCCAGGAATGGAAGCCGGCAGCGCTGGGTGCTGGGAGCGCCCTCGCTTCCTGGCAGTTTGGCCACCTTTCAGGAAACCAGACAGCTAAATGGAAAATCATCACTCTTTTCACTTCAGGGCGCACCGCACACATGGGGTTTTTCAACAACAAATGGATTTTCAGCAGCCTTGTTGTCCCCACGGAGCAGGGAGATGTGTCCCCAGGGAAGCCAAATCCCAGTTCAGCAGTGTCAGCACCACTGCCTGGGGACGGGCACCTCAATGCTGCTGGGCTGGGGATCCCCAGCAGCTCCCAGCACCCCCATCCAAAAATCCTCCCCTCCCTTCTCCTCAGAAAAACTCCTGGCGAGGAGGAAGAATTGCTGAATAATCTGCAGCCCCGATAGCGCTTCAAAGGCAGGGCCCGGGCCCGGTGCCGCGCTGGATGCAGCACTCGGCTCTTGCTCCTTTGGCAGCCCCACAGTGCATCCAGAAAGTAATTACTTAAAAAGGAAATAAATGTCACCCACATGGTTGTAAGCAAAACCCCGGGCAGGGTGAACAGAGCCCCACCAGGATCTGCATTCTCACGCAACACAAGCAAGGCAGGAGGGTTGTTTCCATTCATCCCGATGGGCTGTTTACTCTGTGGGCTACCGCTGACATTGGACATGCCCACCGTGGGCATTTAAGTTCCCCAGGGCAGCCACAGTGCTGAACTGCCTCTGCTTTCATCCTATGGCATCCTCTTCCCCCAGGATGGCTTTAGGCATCACCATCTGAACCAGCAGCAGAGGTTGGTGCCAAAAACGCAGCCCTTCCTGGCACCAGGCCTGCTGTGACCTTCATGGAGATGAACCAGATAACTGGCATGATCAAACAGAGTCATTTTATTTACTTTTACAGATTGATTCTTGAAGTTTTTAATTGTCAAAACCTAAAGTAAGTTGGTTGGGGGAAAGTCAAATGCAGCACCAGAGCAGTGAATGAGGCTCAAGGGTGAGAGATTCTCTCTGCTGCTGGCACCTGCCTGGTTCTGCTGGATGAGACACCCTCAGCAAATCCCCTTAACCAGGACAGGGCTCTGGCAGACCACTCAATTTCAGAGAAATTAAATTTTAGAAAAATAACCCCCAACTTATTTCGAGCAAATAACAGAAGGAAAGCGACAGCCCGAAAACTCTGGGATGAGATCCCATCTGCCCCTACTGCCACTGGAGCTGCAGCAGGATGGCAGCACCTCCCACCCTCTGCTCCACACAGTGTGAGCAAGCACTTGGGACCAGCACACAGGGTTCTGTGAGCCCAGCAACCCTCAGGTGCCTCGGGACATGCAGAGCAAGGGCAGCATGTGGGACACGCTGCAGGATGGGGGCATCACCCGATGCCCTGGCACACCTGAGGGTGAAGCCCAGCATGGCCAGACCAGGTGGGCTGGGAAATACTCCCTAAGGCACTGCAGCCGAGCAAACATGGTACCATACAGCATCGAATCATTTTAAAAGTTAAAATAGTTTATTGCTGTCTTTGTAGAAATGCACTTACATCGCCTGTTCTCTTCCTTTATTTGGCTGTTGGATTACAGGCATAAAAAGGTTACATTTACCTATTTGTTCAGTGACATAACACCTTTTTCGCTATCGCTCCACTCATGATATTCTCCTAAACCTTGCTGGCCAACAGCCCCAAATCTCTTTGACATAAATACTGTAAATGTCTCCATAGGTTGCAGCATTGTAACAAAAGATCTACCAAAGTAGACAAAATGTTCAGTATTCTTGGTTGTTTTTTTTGCATTTAAAAATATACCTAAATTTGAGATAATCTTAACAGAGTAACAATTACAATAAGAAAATAGTACAGTGCGTTGACTAAAGGAATATTCTGCTCTCCTTCAAGCCAATATTCCCTTTTGCATGTTGAAGTGATTCAGCAATTACTTAAGAACTTTTACCTACATACAATAATTTAGTAAAATGAGAATTAAACAAGGCAGATACTTACTACTATTCTTCTGTCTGCAATTCACAGCTCATGCGAATAAAATCGCAATAAATATTAAAAAATAGTTTTTCTTTTGCTTTTTTTTTTTTTCTGTAAGGCATCTCTGAGTATTACAAAGTTTTTGTACAACCAAAAAATAAGATTGCTTTTTTTTTTTCCCATGTTCTCCGAGTACCTCTGTACCTCACCAGTAAATAAGAGGATTGTAGGCTGGATGAGGAAGGAAGGAGGGGGGGCAGAAAGAAGACCACAGGTGATGGAAGCAGACCGCGATGTGTGCAACAATCTGTAGTTTTCCTGTGAAACATTTTCAGCCGCTTTCAGAACATCTTCAAGACAGTATCTGTCCAGATTGAAAAAAAAAAAAAATGGGAGGGCGGGGGGAAGGGGAAAAAAAAAAAAAAGAACAACTTACCAGAAGTCCACTTTCATAAGCACAATCAGACTGCAAGGATTTGGGCTCGCCCTCAACACTATAAATAGCTCAGATATCGATATGCACCTACATAAGGGGGGATAAAGGGGCGGGGTGACATTTTTTTTATGTGGCTTTTATCTCTTTGACAGCTCTTCCGTCGTTTTTGCCGTCCTAGTGGTATCCTTGCAGGGCGAGAGATTGTCCTGGGGCGCGGGCGGGCGCTCACTGCATGCGGTCGGGCTGCAGCTGCTGCGGCTGGTACTGCACGAAGGCGGCTGCGGGCGCTGCAGGGGTGCTGGCACTCAGGGGAGGCTGCACCGTGCCCGTGTAGCCGTAGCCCACGAAGCTGGTGGCAGGGGAGGCAGCGTAGGGGTACTGGTCGTAGGCAGCTGTGGTGTACTGGGAGTAGGCTTGGCTGGCGGCCGTGTAGTCGATGTAGGGAGACGTGATGGACTGCACGGGGGTGGGGATCACCACGCTGGGCTGGATGATGGCTTGGGGGTAAACATAGTGAGGTGTCAGTCTGTGGAGGGAAAGGGAGAGAGTCAGTGAGGGGCTGGGTTCTCCCCCTGGTCTGCACATCCCTCCCCAAATTCACGTGCGTCAGCCACGGAAATGGTGCTGCCCAGCCGTGCTGCCCTCGAGCGAGGGATGAAAAGCAAACACTCCTAAACCCGAGGGTGGGAGTAGTGCAAGGTGAAGCATGGGCTGCTACTAAAACACACACCCTGGTCCCCATGGCTTGTATCTCCCACTATCCATGCTGCTGCAATCCAAAATAAGCTCCCTGGAAGGCTGTCACACAGCCTCTGGCTCACCTCATTTCCTTGGCTGTCCCTGCCAGCCTTTCTGCCTCCTGTACTCTCCATTCCAAACTTGGGTGCAGGGTCCTGAGGACCCACAGCCCCTGTGAGGCACCTCCTGGCACCAGGGACAACCTGTCACTCTCACTTGTCCCACCAGGAATGACCACAGCCCCAGTCCCTCCAGCCTGCCAGGTGTTATCAGTTACTACACACTTACACCATGTTTCCACAACACTGGATGTTTAGGGAATGCTACAGGGTGTTTGTTGTAAAACATGAGATATTACTGCTGTTTTCTTCCCCCCATAGCACTGCCCAGGAGCTGGCAGGGCAGTGACACTCCTGTGTCCATGAGCTGTCACATCTGCCCCTGGCATCTCTGCTGCCCTTTCCATGAGGATCCAAAAGTGCTGCTTCTCCCTGCCCTGAGGCAGCTGTGGAGCTGAGAGGAACTTAACAATGTCACAGTCAATTAAAGTCCATAGGTGGAAAGATCCTGGAGGTGATTAATGCGAGAGTGCCTGCTAATTTGCTAGAAACTGCTAATGAGGAGGAAAGGGGTGGGAGGGGGGAGCATCAAAATGAAAGGGATGTATTTTCCAAAGGGCCCATATCAAGTCAGGTCTCAAACAAGGGCAAAACTGTGCAAACCCGAAGGTTTAGGTACACCCACACAAGCTGCCACGGGCCAGGCAAAAATGAGGAATTGCATGTGGCCTGAAGAGTGTGGCAGGGTGACACCAAAAAGGGCACCCTGGGGAGAAGGTCCCTTTGGCCATTGCTTGCTGAACCACACAAGGCCACACAATGAAACAAAGCCATCCCCTGAAAGCTTGTGCCACCCTGTCTCCAAACCCAAATCATTCTGGCAAATTGAAAAAAAAAAAAGGCAAAACTCTGCAGAGAGATTATGCAGATTCAAATATTTTGGGGATTTTTGTGTGGATGTGTGTGACAGCACATTTTCAAACACAACCACTTCTAAAAGCCTCCCACAGGCTCTTCACAAGGCACAGGGCTGTACATGGCTACCCTCATTCCACCTGAGCATCCAAAATCTCAGCCACCACCTGCAGCTGCTGGGGTTACCTGGGGCTGGTCCCTCCTACCCAGCACTTCCAGGGCTGTTCCCACTTGCTTTACAGCCAGCACTGGATGGTTTGATCTGCTTTCCAGACAGGAGAAAGGCTTCTCACAAACAAGTGCTCATCTGAACTGAGTTTTTTCTCCTTTTCCCACTCCCATATGCAGTTTGTTTTTGCTCGAGACAATTTGCATGACAAGAGAATGACTGCTCTCCTCTCCCTCCCCACACAGCAACACTGCCTCTGAAATCAGGCTCCTTCCATATGCCCAGGGAGGATGGGTGATGGTGAGCAGCACCTCAACCTTTGATTCAGTGCAAGACCTTCTTCTGAGAACACCAAACACCCCTGGACAGCAAGAGGGACCTCACAGTCCTTCAGTCCATCAATACACACCATACCCAGCATCACCCTGTGGGTAACAAGAATGAGATGAGGCAGCAGAAATGCACAGAATCCCTTTTTGTTCAGCTCTGATCTAAACTGAGGCCAGCACGGCTGAATCAGAGCTGGAGCTTAGGCACCAGCTCAGCCCAAGGGCACCTCATGTCACACTCACAGCAGGCAGTGGCAGCCACCTCTTGGAGGAGCAGGGCTGAGTCCCACCCAGAGGTTCCTCACGCCTGTCACTGGGGGATTTTCTCTTTCATTTTGTTTTCAATAACTCAGAGTGCAGTGCTGCTCTCTGGCCTGGGGAAAGGCTTTGCAGAGGCACCCCCAGGCAGTGACCCTTGGGCATGACATATTGTTCTACCCCCTGGCAGATCAGCAGCTCAGCCAGCGTCCTGCATTCCACACTGGGGAGGGATGCTCGGGCTGCTCATCACTTCTCCCTGCATGTCACACCCTGCCACCAGGACCCAACAAAGTTAAAATCACTCCACAAATGCAATAAAAAATGCACTGAAAACCAGCCAGTGGCAGGAGCAGAGGAGGGGCCTGAACTTTTCCTGCCCACAGGCATTCCACCTGCACCCACCCAATGACCAGGACCTGAGCATCACCCTGTCTGAGCAGCTCCTCCACGTCCCTTGCTGCCACACAACTGCTCTGCAGAGCTGGCACAGCCCATGGGGGGGACGTGGTGCCATCAGGATGAGGGGACATTCCCAGCTCATCCCAAGAAACTCTGCATTGTTGGCTTTGCTTTCATGCATGGAGCTCAGGACAGCAAATCTGCAACATCCTGCAAATGTAAATGTAAAACATCCTACGTTTTTCCATCAGCAAGGAAAAATCCCAGCTTTTCAGTGCTACTTGGAATAAAAAGCACCATCAGCTTGGAAGGCAGAAAGCACTCCTGCACCCCACTTCCAGAAATCCATCCCACCAGCCCAGTGGATACACAAGAACACATCACTCACAATAGCTGGAACTGCACTAAAAAATCACACTCAGCAAGTCCAGGATCTGCTTCTAAAGGGAATGTAAATGTAAAAGGGAAGGTTCTTTTGGTCTGTAGGATATCAATAAAGAAGCTAGAAATTTCAATCAAGATATCATGCAGTTTGGTCTTCTGAATTAGGTGGACAGATGGCAATTCATCAATCAAAACAAAACACACAACCCAAAGTAAGGTCACTTTGATGACTTGCAGCTACAAACAAAACAAAACAAAACAGTGCAGTAGTATGAAGTTCTCTGCTGGCTACATTTAGCATCCACAGAAAATCTTAAAATATTTCCCCCTCTTCCATTATTTCTGAATATGATCTTTCAGGGGATCAATTTTAAAAAAGCAAGCTGTTCTGGAGTTCTCTTTCTAGAAAACAGCAAACTCTAATCTGAATTTCTAGAGGATGAGTCACATCTGTGTTTTAAGATGCCTTTCCCTTCCTCCCTCCCTGCAGTTTTCCTCCATCCCCCACGATGGGCCCTGCCAGCCAGAAGAGAACTTCATCAAAAAACACACACAGTGTGATTATAAAACATCAACCAAGTGATCAGCCATGGCCACCACACACCGAGGTCACCCTGTGAGCAGCAGATGGACGAGATGCTGCTGGCACGACAAGGAACCAGGGGCAAAGGCCACCCAGCACAGCCAGCACGGGCAAACCTGAGCCCAGAGGCATCGGTGGCACAGGAGGGACAGCAGGGACTTGTGGTGCCAGCCCACGTGGCACCCAGCCACGCTGCCAGAACTGAACCAGAACAAAGGAGGTGGTCACAGAGCCAGTGGCAGAGGGGACAGAGCTCTGTCCTGCTTTGGCTGGGGACAGAACAAAAGTCTTGGTGCAGGTGGAGATGTTCAAACACGGCAGGGGAGGCACCCGTGGCCCCAGGCACATAAAAAGTCTCTTTCAAAACCTGCCATCAGCCAGGTCTACCCACCACAGAAGCAGGGCAGGGCTGGCTGGGGAAGAAAAAAGGGACAAGTCAGGAGGAAATGTGTCCCACACCTCTCCCCAAACACTGAGGAAGAGGGACAAGCTCTCAACAGCAGCTCCCCCACCACAGCTCATCTCAGAGACACTTCATATATGGGACTATTTTGTATCAGATTTACACCTAAAATGTGCTTTAGCTGCACTTTCTCTCTGCCATCCTGCAGGACTTCCTACACATGAGCCATGAGCTGTTCCTGCAAGCTGCACGAGTTTGGGAGAGCAACAAGGTGGCAATTCCTGAGCCCCTCGATCTCTGCCAGCCCTGCCAGGAGCTGGTTTTGTCAGTTCTGAAGAGGTGGAGACAGCTGCACCCCTCTGTCAGGAGGGACACGGCATCACACAAACATTTGGGAAACAAGGAGGGGCACAGGGCTCTTGGCAGCCTCACAGAGACCAGCACACAAATGCCACCACCACGACCAGGCTTTTATTCCTTGAAGAATAAAAGAAACAGAGCCCTTTGTGTCTGCCAGTGAAGGCACAAATTCTGGCATTTGACCCCAGGAATTTGGCCTCCATTTCCACTAGAGCTGACCCCATTGGCTGCCCCAGGGACACCCACACTGGCCCAGCACATGATGGCAGGAGGTGCTGGGGGAGCTGAGCACAGCCCCTGCTGATGTGACACCTCCAGCCACTGCCACTTTGCACGGCAGATCCAAAGGTGCATTTTGAAGTGGGCTCCTGACTTTACAGCTGCTCTGGGAAGCACACCCCACACTTGCACCACGGCAGAGCTGGAGATGCAGGCACACATCCTGGTGTAACTCACACTCCAAGGAATCGTTCCTGAGGGACACTCCCAAGCACTCACCTCGAGGAGACACTCAGTGAACGTGTGTGCAGTGCAGGCAGGCTTGGCCACAGGTATCATAGGGGCCCCAGCCACGAGGACAGGCTGTGGAAATGTGAGAAATTCAGGTGCTGTTCTCAATCCAGACATGAGAAGGAGGTTGGAGGATGGCTGGAGGTCCCTGCCTGCTCACCAGGACTCTCACTCCAGGAGGGGATCACAGTTTATCCACCAATACTTGGGTGCAGATCAGGACATTGGTTGTGCCTTCATCACTCCACGATTCCTCACCATTCACTGCCAGGACTGGGCTTCAACCACAACATGACAAACCTCCAACTCCTGAAATGTCCCTACTAAAGCTGATTTAAACATGCACTGAAATGTCAACAGCTTCTGCCTCATCTGCCAGTTATCCCAGCCAGCTCAAAGTCACACAAGGATGAACT